ATCCAGTGCGTCATTTGAGACCACTTGGGCTGTATCGATCGATGTAAACCGAGTCAGATAAATGATAGAAGCCATCCATTGCGCTGATGGCAAGATGGCACGATGGCCTTTCGCTTCTGCAGGCCGTTGAACGCGATTGTGAATTGCTGTAACTGTATATGTTCCGGCGAAAGCCGAACAGCGAAATGCACTACGGCTACAAGCGCTATATCGAAGTCATAGAGACAATGCATCACTCGTTCCTTTCACTCCGCCCAATTGTTGAAATCTCTCTTGTCGATGATTTACTTCAACTAGGCAAACGGATGAAATCACTTCAACATCACCGTATAGTATCATTTGCCAATGGTTGCAGCTCAGCACATCTGATGAGGATTCCGCGCACGAATAATGGTGCCTCAATGTCTCAGTTTTACACCTACGGGCCACTTCTCGGTTTACGAAGGGTTTCCAGCTCCTTGTCGTTGCCGCCATCCCCGCTGCTGGCACCACGAGCCAGGAGGTGAGCAGCGCGCCTCCGACTGTCGAGATTCCGACCACAGAGTGGAGATGGTGGGTTTGATGTTGTCTAGCTGGAGAACTACTGTAACAGTTAGTAGATAGTCGAAAATACCTACAAAGCAAATACTTTTTTTTGTTGAGGTAAGCGAGGATTCTATTGCAACAAGAATTATGTTCTACTTTGTGCAAATCGTCGCACATTTTTACGACGTAAGTTCAATTTATTGTAGCTTCATCAGTATTTCCTTCCCATCAGATAGTAAAAATATAAAAACACGCGTCGTAGGAATTACCTTCACCCTACAGCTCGCAAATTCCTCAATGAAATCGCGACGTTTATGGATCCGTTTACAGTTCGCTGTTGTGTTTGGTTGGAATCTCGGATTGACATCCAGATAATCCCGCCAACGAGCCATATTACTGCAAAAAAATGTCTCGATTTTCGATACCTTCGTACAGCGCAGCAAAGATGATGTCCTGCAGTAACTAGTCAGTTATTTTATCGATGAATCTCCTGTCAGGAATACTCTGCATGGTCATTAGATGATGCTGCCGAGGCAAACCACAAGAGTGTGGCAACTGCCGATCATCTCTCTCGAGTCCCCAAGAACGTCCAGGATACTGCAACATTAACAACCTTATAAGCGAGGAAGACTACGTCAGGTTTGAACTATTAGCAAAAGTATTTGGATTGTTCAGCCGGGGTATCCCTTAACAGTAACAAAGCCCCGCCCAGCAAACTTTGCTGCCAATATTTATTGGGTGTTACAATTTGAGGCCACAATTGGTGGCACAAGCACCCCGCGGTGCATGTCGCTTTCTTTCGACGTGTGTGGGGCCGGGCTGTGCATGTTAACGTCGACTTATATGCCATGGTTCACTTGATTTTATGCTTGAAGACGCCTTGGTGGCGCAAACAACACACAACGCATGACACTTTCGCTTGGCGTGTGTCGGGCTTCCAATGCCCTGGACGGTGTACTTGTGTCGTGTATTTTTTGTGAGAAAGCCCTCCGACCGGAAATGCGATTGCGACTTTATATAAACTCTATCTACTTCATTTTGTCATGATGACATTTATTTATTTTTTTGCCAACTGCCTCATTTCGAGCTTTACCACAGATAATGCTCTATAATGTAGTGACACCTCACCCATGAGGATGGCTCCAGCATTGGAAGCAAGAGTTACTATCACTTTTTACTTCCAAGCGCCCAAGTCTCCACTCCTGCCTCCCAGTATGAAGATTGTCCAGCCCCTCTTCAATGCCACCTTCGCTGGCACTGGTGTCAACGTCCAGCTCAAACCACTATGGGCTATACCCGTCGATGACCTCGTCTCATTTGTGACCATTGGAACCAAGAGAGGACCCAAATCTACGTAACTGACAGTGGTGACTACCGTGGAGGTCTCGCGCCGATACCCTGGCTGTAAGGCACCTGTGCTAGACAACAGGTAGTTAGTCAGTGACTAGAATTAACTTATAGAAAAGGCTAACCCGGAACTACGCGGCAAGGACAACCGATTTGACGTAGACAAACCAATTGTTGTTTTTCTTGTTGTTACTCCAAAGAGCTGAAAGTGACGTCCAGGTAAATGAGCTTGCGCCAGAACAACTTCTTGCAGTAATATGTCCCATGTCTTACTGTCGGCGGCACACGACGCCGCACTATTGCGGGAAAAAGTTGTCTCTCGCTCACGTATATGCACTTAGCTGCCGCCGTCGTCACTACTGCATCCTACCGAACAAACCAAG